AGGTGATGAGGAGCTGAGATCTGAAGGAGCCAGGCTAGTTCAGAATCCTGAAAAGGCCTAGACACAGTGGCAGCACAGGAGTGACAGATACCCTGACACCAGATTTTGCTCTCTAAATTCCATTTGTCCCTAAAGGGAACTAGGGCTTCATTAGATAATCATTGATTTCAGAGCTGGGGCAAGAAATGGACAGTTTTTCATACTAGAAAGAAAGGATTTTTTAAAGATAACTGAGTTGTGTCCAAATGATTTCATTTAGGAGCCAAAATAAAGAGACAAAAGACTACCACTGTTCAAAGAAGGGATAATTTGAGCATCTGCAATGGATTGAAATATACCAAATATGTTAAAATCTGTGAGTGTTTAATTATACCAGAAGGGAAAAAAAAAAAAAAAAAACACCCTCATAGGTCACCTTTATAGGTTGCTAGGGAACCAACTCATTACTCTGAGAACTGGTTTAAAAAGAGAGAATTGAGCATTTGCCTTTTCTGTATGAACTGCATTTCGTGGTAGCTAAATGCTGTGGAGGGAAAGGGTTCTTTTAGAAGCATTCCAGCTAATATGTGAAGGAGGAATGGGAGAACTGGGATACTGCAATTTCGCAATCACTAGAAATAATAGATCTGAGTGATGAGAATAATGACTGTTAAAACAATTAGGGAGGGACCAGCAGATGGGGTAATGGTTACATCACTGGACTCCCATGTAGTCGACTGTGGTTTGAGTCCCGGATCTGGCAGCTTAAACCTCATGCCAAGCGAGTGTGCATGTGTGCCTAAAATCCCGAGAGGAGAATGGAGGAGAAGGGATTGCAGCGTGGCCATCCCCCTGGGGGGTGAGTTCTCACTTTCTGTCTCTCTGTCTCTCTCGGGGGGGAGTACAAGCACCCTATTGCAAAAATCTCTTTCTAAAACAAAAAACTACTAGGGAAAAAAGGCTGATGGAAAACTTCAGAATGGATGACTCAAGCTGGAAATACTAGGGGACATCAACAGTTTTGCGGAAAAATAGAAATAAGGTACAAGTTTATTTTAGTGCAAAAAATGTTTAAGCCCATTCACGGTTTTTTCATAATTGTCATTTTCCACGAACTTTTTGAAGACCTTCTTCTTCTAAACCCACTAATTATCTTAACATCACGAGAGAGGGATACAGCCAGGCATCGTGTGCTCTTGCGCTCTCGGTGTGATGAGTTAGGAAGGTCACGATACCACCTGTGAAGTAACCTTGGCAAAAAAAAAAAAAAATCAAACCAGAATTAATCAAAGCACTGGGTCTGATGGACACTTTCAGGAAACCCAGGGCTTAGGGAACCATGCTGAATGACACCACAGGGTGCAAACAGCAAAATCCAGAACATAGGAAACTCAACAGGAAAAATGACCCAGTTTCTCCAACAAATAAATTAGAAGGAAAAAAGAAAAAAGGACAAGGGAGCTTATAAATTGAAAGAGACCCAGAAGACATATTAACCAACTACAGTGCGTGGGTTGTTTTTAGACACTAATTTAAACAAGTGGGGGTAGAGGGGAGGGCCGGCCCTGTAGCATAGCTGTTAAGCCCTGAGCATATGAAGCTGAATCCTACATGGCTGGCCACGGTATAAATCCTACCAGCTCGAAAACACTGTGTGTGTGTGTGTGTGTGTGTGTGAGAGAGAGAGAGAGAGAGAGACTGTGTATGTGTGAGATAGAAAAAACTATGTGTATGTGTGAGAGAGAGAGAGAGAAACTCTGTGTGTGTGTGAGAGAGAGACTGTGTGTGTGTGAGAGAGAGAGACCAAGACAGAGAGAGACAGAAAGACAGAGTATGTGTGTCCAAAATCCTGACAGGATGAAGAAATGGAGGAAAAAAGATTCCAGTGTGACCATACCCCATTGACGGCGTGCTTCCCCTCTCTCCCTGGAGAGTGCACACACCCTCTGGCAAAAAGACACAGAGAAAGAAGAAAAAGAAGGAAGGAAGAAAAGGGGGGTGGAAGGAAGGAGAGAGGGAAGGAAAAGAAATTATGGAAAAATTGGGGAAAATGTGAACAATGGCAATATTTGCTAATTTTAATATCTTTTTTTTAGAGAGGTTTTTTGCTATAGGGCACATACGCTTGCTGGAGAGACAAAGACAAGAGACAGAAAGTGAGAAGCCACAATCCCTTCTCCTCCATTCTCCTCTCAGGATTTTGAGCACACATGACATACACCCGGCATGAGTTTTAAGCTGCCAGGGCCAGGAGTGGAACCCTGGTCAACTACATGAGAGTCCAGCAATGTAACCATGACACCATCTGCTGGTCCCCACTTTTATTGACTTTTTAAAGTGTTTGTTTGTTTTGCCATAGGGCACGTGCTCTCGCTGGAGAGAGGACAGAGAGACAGAAAATGTGAGAAATCGCTCCTGCATTAGGATGACCACATCTCAATCCCTTCGCCTCCACTTTCTTCTTGGATTTTTGGGCAGGCACCGCATGCACCCACTGTGATTTTTCAAGCCGTTTTCTCCAGACTCAATCTGTGGGCATCTATGTGAGAGTCCAGCACGTTAATTACTACACCACTTCCTGTCCCTCTGTAGTAATTTTTTTTAAAATTCTTATTTTTTACAGATACATCCCCAAATTTATAAATGAAATGATATGAAGTCTAGGATTTATCTAAAAATAATTCAGTGAGGTGGCAGGAAATCGGGGATGGGGAGAGGTGGGAGGATAAGGGGAACTAGATGAAATAAAATTTCCAGGAGTTGATCCTCGCTGAAGCTTAGTGATGGCCCATCCCATTACTTTCTCTGTCCGATATATGTTTTTTTTTTTTTTTGGAGAGGTTTTCGCCATAGGGCGCGTGCGCTCGCCAGACAGAGAGAGACATAGAGACAGAAAGCGAGAAATCACCCCCCAGGGGGGATGGTCACGCCGCAATCCCTTCTCCTCCATTCTCCTCTCGGGATCTTGGGCACGCACGCACACGCGCCCGGCGTGAGTTTTAAGCCACCGGGTCAGGGACGCGAACCGCGATCGACTACATGGGAGTCCAGCGACATAGCCATTACGCTAACTGCTGGTTCCCTCTGTCTGATATATGTTAGAAATGGTCCATAATATAAACATTTAAAAGTGAAGAAGGCAACACTGACCGTATATATAGGAATCATAAGGGAAAGTTTTCTATGGCAAATGGGAATACTAATTCTTATCTCTTAACGACAGGGCCAATAGGTAAGTCACCCTTTAGTACTGTTTTTCCTTCAGTAACTAATAATTTAAGGTAGCCTCTAGAAGAACTCTTTCAGGAAATATATGCTTGTTTTCATGGACAAGAAGATTCAAAAGTTAGGACTTGTCCTGCAGTCTGGTTAGTTGTGGTGTAGGTTATTCTTTCCAGGTGTCCTAGCAACGACCAGGACCAGCCCTTGCTGGAGGATGAACCCTAAGAGGCCTAGAGTGCTTCTGTGTCATCTCCTCCCTCCCTCAGTTCTTCCTGCCTCGTTTATACTGCTGTGCAGCCCCCAGGAATAGGTCTGCTTTGTACAGATGAGCAAGCTGAACACTGCCCGATTCTGGAGCTGTGCCTTTAGTCTGCTAACGCCAGTATGGGCTTCAATCATATTTGATTGTTTTTAAGTTGGTGTTTCCCCAATATTTCTACTACTATCGTTCTCCTTGGAGTAACTTTTCTATCTTCATTAACCAGGATAGCTGACAACTCCCAGGTCTCACTAATTTAACAAATTAAAGTTTTTTTGTTTTTTTTTTTTAATTGCCAGAGGGTATGTGCACTCACCTGAGAGAGAGAGACAGAGAGAGAAAGAGAGAGAGAGAGAAAGCACCCTGCCATTGGGGTGTGGTCACGCTGCAATCCTTTTTCCTCTATTTCTTCATCCTGAGGGAATTTGGGGCACATACGTGTGTGCACATGCACACAAATGCTGGTAGATTTTTGAAGACTCCAGGTCTGAGATTCTAAGTGTGTAGTTGGCCACGTGGAGCCTGGTTCCTTTAACCACTAGGCTATGGGACGGGCACACATATTAAAGGTTTGTTAAGAAGTCCTGTATGGAGGCCAGCAGGTGGCACAGTGGTTAGAGTGCCGGGCTCCAACATGGTTGCCTGTAATTTGAGAACCAGATCTGATAGTTTAAGAATCACGCCGGGAATGTGTATATGCATGCCCAAAATCCCAGGAGGAGAATGGAGAAGAGATTGGGACATGGCCATTCCCCTAGGGTTGATTTCTCACTTTCCTTCCCTCTGTCTCTCTGTGTGTCTCTATGGCAAACACACTCCGCATTAGAGGAAAAAAAAAAAAAAGAGTGTGAGAGTGGAAGAAAAGGGAGACCTAGTCCCTCAATCTTTCAGGTTCCTCCCATCATCACCTCTAAGAAGTATGTCACGGGAACCAGCAGTTAGCGTAATGGCTATGTCGCTGGACTCCCACTCAGTCGACCGTGGTTCGTGTCCCGGACCCGGTGGCTTAAAACTCACGCCGGGCGCGTGTGCGTGCGTGCCCAAGATCCTGGGAGGAGAATGGAGGAGAAGGGATTGCGGCGTGACCATCCCCCCTGGGGGGTGATTTCTCGCTTTCTGTCTCTATGTCTCTCTCTGTCTATCTGGCGAGCGCACACGCCCTATAGTGAAAAAAAAACCCTCTCAAAAAAAAAAAAAAAAAAGTATGTCACTAGGTCTGTTGCAAAAGGGATTAATCATCATAGATCCTTACCAAAACAAAGGATAGAGGCTAGGAAGTACTGTTTCAAAAATGTGCCACCATCCTCCCTATTCTCGCAAGTCAGTTTTCTTTTTTCTTTTTTTTTTTAATGTATAATCGGCGTTTTATTTTTTTCCCCCAGAGGACAGACAGTTCTTCAGTCCTTAAAGACTCGGCTCCTTACATGGGCTTTGGTGGAGGGCGAGGGGCAGCACCCGCAGGTCTAAATAGGGGTGGGGGTGTTTGGTCCTTGCGAGCTTCCCGAGATCGGTTCCTGACTACCTTGCTATGAATGGTGCAACTCACACAGTAATGTATCTTCACATACAGCTTGGGGAGCACATAGGCATCGAAGACACTTGCTTCGGAGATGTCCCTGATGGCTGCAGCCTCTACTATGTTTCAAATGACGAACTTCTTAATAGCCTTGTCCTTGGACATGCATCGGGCGCAGTTCATGCAGCGAATAGGCTGCACAGGGCCACGGCCCTTTTTGGCAGGGCCCTTGTTCCTTCTTTTCTTCGTCATCTCAGAAGCGAGGCCGCGAGACCTCGCAAGTCAGTTTTCACTGCTCACCTGACTGTGCCAGGTCCTCGGCCAGCTCAGGTACTCTAGCTGCACAAGGAAAAGCTACCTTGTATGCCAACCACAGGGGCACAGCAGTAACATTATGCTCAGAGATGCTGAGGCCACACGGGAGGGTCACAGGTTCCTGTTCCCAGTTCTTTCGGGACACCCTGGACATGCACAAGTAAGTACCTGTGACCCTCGCTCACCAAGGTTGGGGGTGGACTGCAGGATGAAGATCCTGTTGGAGGTGTCTGTCTTCTCTGTCTCTCAAACTTTTTTTTTTTAAACAGGTACCTTTTAACCACCCCCCTCCAGAAACTTCCATTTATTTCTCATGAAAGAATTGGAGTAGGCATTTCCAATTCAAGTTTAATAAATGTTCAACAATGTTAAATAAACCATTGGCTTTCTCTTGGAAATGAAAAGTTTTGACAAAATCTCCAGAAACGAAACATGGTAGCTTTTATTCTCAGTTGCGTGTCCGCGATAGTATCATCAACTGAGGGTGTATTCCGACGTTTCCATCCACATTCCTACTTCTAGTCTTGTGTCTCGAATAAATCCCCTAGCAAAATGAAGTTCCTTGAAATCACAGATTATCCTTTATTCCTTTGTAATTCTCCACAGTGTTGAAAATGCTCCTGGTACAGGCAGGAGCCCTCATTAACTGGGGGTGTTGTCACATTCTGTTTTATTTGACTCCACGACTATTAAACCACCAGCTAGCCTTGGTATTAAAAATAGCCCTCATTAATCTTAAGGGATTGTCACCTAACTTTGACATCTGTACATGCTTTCACAGAAGAGCTGTGCGTATAGAAGACAAAGGCGGGATTGAGGCCAGACGTTTCTTTCTTTCTGGGTATTTCTTTGCATAGGTAAAGTCCAGCAATTTCATGTCAATAGTCTCTCCCATCCTCCTTTAGCCTAATTTCATTTTCACCTGAAAAAGTCCAGTGAACTCTGCTGCAAGAAAGGGGCTCTTTCTGCCCATGGCTCTGCGGTGCCTCTGCTTGTGCTGGAGTGCAGCGAGGGGGAGCTTCCCTTTCCTGCCCACGAAAAGAAACGTTTTTCTGTCTTGTCAATTACTGAGGGACCTGGATGGGTTAGTGCTGCTCTATTAATATAAAATGAGATTATTCACCAGCTGTTGTTTCATTGCTTTCAGCAGAGCCATCGAAACGTTTGCAAAATAGCAGAGAGCTCCAGATGGGAGGGGCCATTGTTCAAAATCCAGACCACCCAGCGGGTGCATCAGGTAATGGGCTTCACACTGACCTCTGCGAAATTTGAGAACACTTGAAGGGTGGTGTCACATGATTGGTCTGTGTCACTCAGAAAACCAGGACACTGTTTTATTCTATCCCTCTGACTTCTTCATCATGCCTCCCCTCCTTTTCAGAGAGTACAGATTTCCCTGGAATTCTATTCTAGATTAAATTAAAATTAAAACAAATCCATTTAAAAAGATAACAAATGTCAACTGCTTTACTATAAAATACGTCTTTTGCAGCCCACAACATGACCTGTGTGTTTAATTTTCATAGACTCCTTTTTTTTTTGGGGGGGGGGAGGTTTTTGCTATAGGGCGCGTGCGCTCACCAGACAGACAGAGAGAGACAGAGAGACAGAAAGCGAGAAATCACCCCCCAGGGGGGATGGCCACGCTGCAATCCCTTCTCCTCCATTCTCCTCTCGGGATCTTGGGCACGCATGCACACGCGCCCGGCGTGAGTTTTAAACCACCGGGTCCGGGACACGAACCGCGGTCGGCCATGTGCGAGTCCAGCGACATAGCCATTACGCTAACTGCTGGTCCCCTTTTTCATTTTTTCTTTTTTTTCTTTTTCTTTTTTCTTTTTTCATAGACTCCTAAGACATTGTTCACAATGGGAGGAAGAATGCCTGAGCAAGGTATCTATCCAAAGCAGCAAGCTCCTGAAACTTAAGATCACGAATCACCTGAGCATCTGCTAAAATGTGAATTCTGATTCAGTAGTTCTGGAGAGAGACTCAAGGATCTTATTTCCTTTTTTTTTTTGTTTTTTTTGAGAGGTTTTTGCTATAGGGCATGTGCACTCTCCAGACAGAGACAGAGAGACAGAAAGCGAGAAATCACCCCCCAGGGGGGATGGTCACGCCTCAATCCCTTCTCCTCCATTCTCCTCTTGGGATCTTGGGCACGCACGCACACGCGCCCGGCGTGAGTTTTAAGCCACCGGGTCCGGGACGCGAACCACGGTCGACTATGTGGGAGTCCAGCGACATAGCCATTACGCTAACTGCTGGTTCCCTTATTTCCTTTTCTTTTTTCTTTTAAAAACAACCTTGTGGGACCAGCAGTTAGCGTAATGGCTATGTCGCTGGACTCCCACATAGTCGACCGTGGTTCGCGTCCCGGACCCGGTGGCTTAAAACTCACGCCGGGCGCGTGTGCGTGCGTGCCCAAGATCCCAAGAGGAGAATGGAGGAGAAGGGATTGCGGCGTGGCCATCCCCCCTGGGGGGTGATTTCTCACTTTCTATCTCTCTGTCTCTCTGTCTGTCTGCCGAGCGCATGCGCCCTATAGCAAAAACCTCTCCAAAAACAAAACAAAACAAAACAAAAATCTTTGCTGTAGTTTGGGTGCACGGACCGGAGAAAGAAATAGAGAGACTGAGAAAACACCCATCGAGGTGGATGGCTCTGCAGCAATCTCTTCTCCTCCATTTTCCTCTTGAGATTTTGGGGACACATACATGTATGCTGGGGGTGCTTTCCAAGTCACCAGGTAAGACTTACGCTGTTCAGTAGGTTATGCCACTGGCTGTCCCAAATCTTTGTTTTTAACAAGCAAAGAGGGGCTGGATCTTTGAGTCACATGCGTCTAGACTGAGTGTTGTTCAAGTATTTTCATTTTGCACGTCAAGTTATAGAAAATATAGTTTGAATAGATGATCGGAGTGGCAAACCTCTTCTTAAAACTGAATTCCTGAGGTTGGCAGGTGGCATAGTGGTTAAGGATGTTGGACTCTCACATGGCCAACCGTGGTTTGAGTCCTGGACCTGGTGGTCTGTTTTCTCACTTTCTCTCTCTCTTGCTCTCTCTCTCATACTTTGTCCTCTGGTCAAATTAAATAAATAAATAAACAAATAAATAAAGTTGAATAAAAAATAATTTTTCCTTTTAAAGGAATTATTTACTTAATTTTATTTATTCATTCATTTATTTTTAATTTGACCAGAGAGAGACACAGAGAGAGAGAGAGAGAGAGAGAGAAAGAGAGAAAGCAAGAAAGCAAGTCACCAGGTCCGGGACTTGAACAGCATAGTTGGCCATGTGGGAGCATCCAGCGCCTTCATCATCATGCCACTGGTGGTGCCCATAAAGAATTCTTAAAAAAAAAAAAAAAAAAAGCTGAATTCCGTGGACCAGCAGATGGTGTAATGGTTATATCACTGGACTCCCACGTAGTTGACTACAGTTTGAGTCCTGAACTCGGTTGCTTGAAACTCACACTGGGCGCATGTGCATGCATGCCCAAGACCCCAAGAGGAGAATGGAGGAGGAGGAATTGTGGGATGACCGTCTCCTCTTGGGGGGAGAGGTGATTTCTCACTTCCTGTCTCTCTCGCTGTCTCTCCAGATAGTGCACATGCCCTATAGCAAAAAAATCTCTCTAAATAAATAAATAAATAAACTGAATTCCTTTTTTAATAGAATTATTTTATTTAACTTTATTTACTTAATTTAATTTGACCAGAGAGGGACAGAGTGAGAGAGAGAGGGAGAACTAGAAAGTAAGGTGCCAGGTCTGGGACTTGAACCACAGTCAGTCATATGGGAGTCTGGCGCCCTTAACCACCATGCCTCCTGCTGGCCCCTAAATTCCTTTTTAAAAAAAATAAAAAGTAAAAAATCCTTTGGCCACAGAGAGCATGCACTTGCTAAAGAGCAACAGAGAAAGAGGGAAAGTGAGAAATCACACCCCCCTATGGACATGCCATAATCTTCTCCATTCTCCTCTTGGATTTGGAGTATGCACACATACATGCCCAGCACGTTTTTTGAGCTGTGGGGTCCCAGACTCAAAATAGCTGAATGGGCCATTTGGCATCCAGCGTTTTAACCACCATGCAACCTGCCGGCCCCCAACATTGAATTCCTTGATAGTTTATTACAGAAATATAGTTAAGGGTAGAACATTGTACAGCACCTTTTTTTTTTTTAAGTTTATTTATTTCCTCCATGAGTGAGAGAGAGAATAGGCATCTAAACAGAATCCTCACACTGTGACAATCCACCCCCAACTTCGACCAGCCCCAAGTGATGGGTGCGTGTGCACCCAGCATGTTCAGGAGGGTCTCCGATGCAAACCCAGAACTTTCCTATTTACTGCTATGCCACTGAATGACCTCCTGTGTAGTCTCCATTTAAGAAACTGTTTCTTTCCTTTCCTCTAATGGATAGCTCAATCTCACTACCACTTTTGTTATCTCTTTTTTTAAAATTTTATTCATCATCATTATTATTATTTGAATTTGACCAGGGAGAAATAGAGACCAAAAGAGGGAAACTGAGAAAGCAAGCCACCAGGTCCAGGGCTTGAACCACGGTCGGCCATGTGGGAGTCCAGTGCACTTAACCACCACGCCACCTGCTGGTCCCCCACTTTTGTTATTTCAACTGTCAGCACAGGACACCTTTTCTCTATCTGGATCCAGTACACTAACCTATAACCACTTCTCCTGGGAAATACCATATTGTATTGCTGGGAGTGAATTTCCCAGGCCTCATGGCAGGGAAGATCTGAGTCTACTCTGCCAATTAGGTATTGAGACACCCTGGACAATTTCCTTAACCTCTCTGATCCCTAATTTCTGTACCTAAAAGTATGTGTGTGAGGTCAGCCAGTGGCATGGTGGTTAAGGCATTGGATCTCACATAGTTGACTTTGTGGTTTTAGTCCTAGATCTGGTGGCTTGAAAAACATGCTGAGCACTTGTACATGTGTGCCCAAAATGCCTAGAGGAAAATGGAGAAGAAGGGATTGCAGAGTGGCCATCCCTCACCCCTGCCTTGTTTTTCTCTGAAGAGAGGAGGCACCCTACTGACTTTAAAAAAAAAAAAAAAAAGTGTGTGTATGAGGGAATTAAAATTTAAAAATTCCAATTATAGAAAATAGGACTATAATACTTACTACACAGGATTATTATAAGTTTTAGATAAGATAGTATATGCAAATTACTTCCTTTATTATACCAAGTCACTGCTCCATAAAATACACTTACAGACTAACAAAAGCCTAAAATTCCCATTTACAAAGGTCAAAATGTCTTCCTGCTAACCATGGTAGATGGAAGCCTGGTCCAAGCATTCCCCATCCCCTGCCTTCTCTAATGTGTCTCTGGAATTCGGTTTAGCTCTTTGCTGATGACTTAATGACTCGGAGCTGCTGTTGTGAACATGAGCAACTGTGTTCTCCTGGAACACAGGGATGACCTCAGTCAGGGGCTTTCCTGCTGCACCTGCCCTGACTCCCTCACTCCCCCACCCCACCCCTCCCAGCGCTCCTGCAGCTCTCTGTTCATACTTCCACAATAGCACTGACCACTGTGCAAAAATATCTGTTTACCAGGCTCCTTGGCCTGGGACCCCCTTCCGCAGTAAATGTCTGCTGTTGAATGAAGTCATTCCCAGGCCCTACTTAAAGGCCTGAGTGTCCGGAACTCATCAGCGTGGCTTGTGTGCCTTCATTCAGACCCTTAGAAGTGCCTCCATGTGCTCAGTCAACTGCTGAAAGAACTGCTCTATTTTATCTTTTCAAGATAGCCAGGGACAGAGATTATACTCCTGCTTAGACCCTGTAATGGTTTTCAGTTACTAGAGACCGAGAAGTTGTTTACTCTTCTGATCAATTTTAAACTTACTCTGTCTTTTTTCATTCTTTGTTCTGTTTTCATTGACAGTAGTGAGGTTGGAGCTACAGAGCCCTAGACTCCAATATTGATTTACACTCCAAGCAAGCCATTTGATGACTTCTGTGCTCTGCTGCTCAGCTTCCATATCTGCAAAATGGGGCCATTCTCAGCCTGTGCAATGGCTTTGTGTGTAGAGATGGTAGTGAAGGTATTTTCAGAACTCTTCTTAGGGAGGAGTTTAGATATCTTCTGCTTTGATAATCCTGCCAGGGTTGGGGCAGGAATGAAACTCTAAATGGCCTTCTTGAGTAAATAGATGGCTATTAACTAGACTTGAAAGAGCACGGCCTATTCACAGTTGACCATTTTATCTTGTAGCTCATAGAAGTGCGTAGGATACCAAGCGGCTCCATGTGGCCAAAATTAGTGGCTCCCTTTCCAACAGCCATTCTCTCCTTTCTTTTTATTCTTGCTGCCAGAACCTGCTTTCTAACTCCAGAGACTAAAAATGCCAATACTAGCTTTTATTATTAGTTCATGATCATGTAACCTGACTCCAGAGAGACTGAGCTTAAGAGAGTGTCAAAGACCAAGACAGAGAGACGAGCAACATCACCACTATGTGGAAGGTAAAAGGCCAGTCTCAATCTGAGCTCTCTTGGGATTTGGCATGAATTTAAAGGTAAATCTGAGATGTTTCTGGGAAAGGTGTTCTTTTCTGGTGTTGGAGAGTTGGCAAAGAGTAAGAAGAAATGTTTTTCTTCCTACCTTTAAATGTAGTTAGGTGTGGACATAATTCATCGAGCAATGGCAGCCTTCTTATGACCATGAGGGACAACTCTGAAGATGAAAACCAATATGGTGGAGATGGCAGAGCTTTCTAAAGATAGAAAGCACTTAGGTTGGGTACTTGAAAACATTGTTATGCCCCTCAATTAACCAATCCCCAAATTTATACTCCCTCAAGCAAATAAACCATATTGTTTAAGCTGCATATTTCATTACCTGTTTATTATATACATTCAGCATAAAACTGAGTATCTAAGCCTTGATTGTGGGAAGAGAAGGAAGGGATTTTGATGAGAGCAAAGCGGAAGAGGAAATAAGAGAAAAGTCACTTCTGTTGGGTGTACAGGTTAATGTCTGCTTCATTCCTTTGGGGAAGCTTTGGTCATTTCTATATGACATGAATATGTTTGATGTTCATGAATTGTCCTAGAGAACTTGAAGAAGAGTTGAGATCTACATCAAGAATGGTTCTTGATGACCTGGTTTGGTGTCAAAGTGCAGTGCTGGACTGCAATACTGGAAGCCATGAGGCTGACTGTGGATTCTAATTCCCAACCCGATGGACCTGAAACACACTGAGCATGTGCATGTCCAAGATCCTGATGGTCTGCAAGAAAGGGATCACAGAATGACCAGACCCTGTTGGAGGTACTTCTTTTCCTTCTCTGTCTCTGTCCCTCTCTCTCTCAGACACACACACACACACACACACACACACACACACACCTGCTGTGTCCCATGAATTGAAAAAAAAAAGAGGAGACCAACATATGGCATAGTGGTTACATCCCATATGACCGATGGCAGTTCAAGTCTGGACCCAGCGGTTTGAAAATCACACTGGGCACGTGTGCATGCATGCCCAAGATCCCAGGAAAACAATGGAGATGGAATTTTGGTGTGGCCATCCCACCAGGGAATGATTTCTCACTTCCCTCTCACTGTCTCTATCTGTCTCTCTCTGGTGAGCACAAAAACCTCTTAAAAAATGTTCCCTGAAGAAAACAGAGTCACATTCAAGAATGGACCACACTTCTGGGTTATATTAGAATTAGAAATCATGTCTATCAAGCACTTAGAATGGTATCTGGAATGGAGGACACATGCAATAATGGTAGACGCTATTATTATTGCGTTACCAGGATTATCTTGTCTTCTAATTGATAGCTAGCAAGAAGGCAGAAACTAGATGGCCCTGGGTGGAACTGCATTTGGGACAAAACCAGTACTTGGCCTTGAGAAGAAGCTTGTGACCATGGCTGTATGAAGACAGCAAGGAGCCGAGCACCGACTGACAGCAGCCCCAGCAGAGACACTTTGACTCTCCAGATGGGGTAAAAGGCTGGATCCAGCTGGTAAGATGAAAGCCTGTAATCAGAACAGGCTCAACAGAAGTCGGACTTAATTGTTAGCAGTGGGGTTTCTTGAATTCTTCCTGAATGGCTAAGGATTGGCTGGAGAGCTCAGACTGAGACTGGCCTTTTATCTTCCACATAGTGGTGATGCTGCTCGTCTCTCTGTCTTGGTCTTTGACACTCTCTTAAGCTCAGTCTCTCTGGAGTCAGGTTACTCTCTCTCTCTGTGTATGTTTATGTATTTCTTTATCTTACTTATTCACTCGTAGAAGACCTTAGGTATGAACCTAATTTACCCTGACAGCCATGGGGAGCCCTCAAAACCAGAAACTTTCTTTTCTTTTCTTTTTTTAAAATAATTTATTCATTCATTTATTTTAATTTGACCAGAGAGAGACACACAGAGAGAAGGAAAGTGGGAAAGCAAGCCATAAGTTCCGGGACTCAAATTGTGGTTGGCCATGTCAGAGTGTCCATGCCTTAACCACCATGCTACCTGCTGGTCCCTCTTTTCATTTTTTTAAGCTTTTTTGCCATAGCTCGCTGGAGAAAGACAGAGAGAGGGAAAGTGAGAAATCATCCTCCAGGGAGGATGACCACTCCCCAGTGACTTCTCCATTCTCTTCTTGGGATTTGATGTGATTTTCAAGCCTCCAGGTTCAGGACTTGAACCACAGTTGGCCATGTGGGAATCTAGTGCCTTAACCACCACACCACCTGCTGGCCCTAGGAACTTGTTTTTCAATAGACTGTCAAAGGACATGACATACACCGTAGGGTATAAACTGAGGCTTGAGAGGCCATTGTGCATGTGACCACCTGCTTTCTTGCTCTTTCATTCTGCCATGGAGATAGCAGATCTCATCAAATGGGAACTCTCTTGCTTCCTTGGTTCCCAAACATGATGACATGGGGAGCTGGAGCAGAGCTTGCACTGACGTGATGACAGTGAAGAACACTGGTGATTTCAAGCCTCTGGGAGTTAGTAAGGCATTTATCACTATGGTAAAGCTAGTAAATCTAGACAACCACCCAGGTTGCCACCTCTGAAGAAATTATCCCCTTGTAGGGTCTCTGTAAGGCAGCATCCTCTAAAGAGGGACATGGGCTTGATCCAACCCATGGAACAGAAGGCTAGCCAGGTGGCATGGTGGTTAAAGCAGTTCAATCCCACATGGCGGACTGTGTGGTTTGAATCCTAGATGCTGCAGCTTGAAAAGCACACCAAGTGCATGTACATGCATGCTCAAAAGTCCTGAGAGGAGAATGCAAGAGATGGGATAACAGCATGGCCATCTCCCGAGGGATTCTCTCTCTCTCTCTGTCTCTGTCTATGGTGAGTGCATGTTCTATACAGCAAAAATATTAAAACAAACATGGAAAAGTGAGAAGAGAAGAAAAGGTGAATTTGAAAAATATTAAAGAGGTGTGATGGGGACTTAAGTTCGTGGGACTGTGGGATTAAATTACAAATTTATTTTTAAAAATTTTTGAAATCCATGTGTAGTTTTTCCATAATGTGCATTTTCCATGAACTGTTTGAACACTCAATATTATAATTCTTTCAATCACTAATGATAAGACTTAAGTAAGTTGGCCCTACAACCTTGTAGTTAAGGGAGCCTGATGCTACATGGCCAAATGCGGTTCAAGTTCTGGCCTCAGTGGCTTAAAAAACATGCCAGGCACATGTGCTTGTGTGCCCAAAGTCCCAATAGGATGGGGAAATGGAGAAGGGGTTGCATTATGGCATTGCCCATTAGGGGATACTTTCTCCCCTCTTCTGTCTCTCTGTCTCTCTCAGGAAAACATATACCCACTGGCAATTAAAAAAAAAAAAAAGAAAAGAAAAGAAAGAAAGACTTAAGCAAAGAATGGAGTTTCTTGGTTTGAGGTTGTGCAAAGGTTTAGGACTCAAATGACGTCACTGGAGTTGACTTCCTCTCTCTGTCTTGACTCTACCTTCTTGGTTGGGTTGATATCTGGGTTTCATGAGTGGATTCCAGACCCTTAAATATAATGTCTTTAGCCTCGTGGTTTCCCTGGTTTAAGTCTAGTAGAAAGAGTG